CTACTTGGACGAGTTGCTGGTCGCCCGCCCTGTCGTGCCTTGCTTCTTTCTTCCGTGATGCTATAGTTGGGGACCAGGGGATTGTCTGCTCCCCCGCTTGCATCCTACCGTCTTCTGCTGTCTGTCGCCCCCTGCTTATATTCTCCTTCTTCTCCCCTTGTGTCTTTCTAGCTTCGTGTGTCCTGTCTTGTCTCCGTCTACGTTTCCACTCTTCGCCCCATTCGTGCGTTATCCGTCCGTGATATTGCTTGCGTTGCGTTCGTCTTTCTTAATCCCTTTACTACCTCTTTCTGTCTTTGCTTCGCCCTTTACTTCTTCTTTCTTCTCCCCGTCTGTGTTTGGTCTTCTGGTGTGCTGCGCCCTGCGTCTTGTCTGGCGTGTCGCGCCGGTCTTCGGCCTTCTGGTATTAACTGCTTGGTGTTACCGTCTCCCTGTGCTTGCTGCTGTTCCGTCGCCCGTTCTTCTGCCTTTTTGGCGTCGCTCAACGTGGCAGGTCTTCCTTGAGTCGTCGATTTTCTGTGCTTAATTCTGTGCCTTATCCCGTAGTTCTGCTGCTGCGGTGTGGTTTCGTTTCTCCCTGCTTTAAAGCTGGTTACCTAGGTTAAGAGTCGAACTGTCTGTCTTGCGCCCGGTCAGCGCCTCCGGGCTGCGTTGGGGGCGTACTGACGGATGGCCTTCTCTTGCTGGAGGGCCGAGTCGTGTTAAGTTCTCGGGCTGCGCCCCGGAATGAGGCCGGATTGCCTGTCTTGCCCCCCTTCGCATCTGCCGGTACCCCTTTTCTTTCGTGCTTTTCATGCTTCTGTCTTGGGATTCCATTCCTGTTGATATGTGTATGCACCACTCGTTTCTATCTCCACTCTTGTTCCCCACTCTTGACTGCTTTCCATCTTCTTCTATAGCGTGCGTTGTCCTTAATGAGTCTCCTTGATGAGGTGCCATGCCCCCTGGTCCTTGACATCCTGGGTGGGCCGAACCTTACGTTAGCTTTCTGTCATCTTTATTATGGTTCTCCGACCTTCGCTTCGCCCCGACTCCGCCCTACAACTACCTTTCCCGTATCCTTCCTACCACCGCTTACTACCTATCTTACTTCCCCCCGCCCCACGTGACCACCTTGCCCTACCTCCACCGCAGGGCCCCGCCCCTCGTAAACACTCTCATACCCCCCGCTCTACTCCCGCGGACGCTCCCTTTCCCGTTCCCCAGTACATCCCCCCCCCTCCCTTCATGTTCTGCCGTGCGGGGACCTTCATCGCGCTCTCCTCCTCTTTCTTATTTATTCAAAATTCTGACTCTCCCTAGACACTTACGTTTCCTTGTTCCTTCCTTTATTCTTTTTTACATATTTTAGTGACCCTTCTACCATCATAGTTCTTCTTTCATCCTTAGATCACTCGTTATAACAATCCATCCTTAGTGTCGTACTGACGAATCACACTATCATGTGCTTCTTCGGTCCTTCCTGGTCTGATTTCCTCCCATCTACCCCGCTCTGTACTGGTCTTATCAGCTCTCGATCTGCAATCGGTTTCAACACCTCACTACTCCCCCCCTTCTAACCCTGCCCTGCTCTGTGACGCCTTCTGTCTCTATCTCCCAAACTGCGCGCGGATAAGCGAGGGGGGTTGAGTCCTGTTTTCTTCCTAGTATGCGCAGATGGTCGGGTATCCATGCCAACCCACATAGCATGGCTGAGCGGTAACACGGCCAGTGACTAGCGAGGGAGTAGGGGACGAATCGGAGACACGAAAGCTGGCCCCGTCCCTCGGGCGCATGGTTTTGAAACAACTGTTCTCCTACAACGAGTACGATCCGTCTGTCTCTCCCCGCCTCTAATTGGTAATCTGTCGGCAGTCCTCGTTATTTACGGAGACTCGCCCGCGTCTCTCATGGTTTGCCTGGCGCGTGCGCTCGGGGCGTTATCGTTTGACCTTTTGGGCTGAGCTCAGCTGTCATCCCTCGGGTTCTGCGGAATGCATAAGCCTAGGAGTGTTGTGTTTCTATGCGGGCCCTGATGAGTCTGTGTCCCCGTTCCGATACAAACACTTCGACCGCGTTACCCTTTAGCTCCAGCTGCTTGTCCGCTAGCCACCCTTCGGTTTTTCCTATGATCTTATGGGGTGCGTGCTGTTGGAATAATTTGATGTGCTTGCTCCGTCGTTGTTGTGGGGGGAGGGTCTGGTTCTTCAGTGTTTCAGTGCCATATCACGCTTCGTTGCTCTTAGCCACATTTCGTCTAGCCGGTCTCTTGTGACTTCTCATTCCCCCCGTACCCCCTTTTCGGCGCTCTCACCCAACACTTCACTCCCCGCCGATAAACCCGTTTGTGGCTTCGTTTGGGTTATGGTTTACTAAGTGTTTATTCGATGGTGGGTGTCGCGCTTGTATGTGAGAAACTGTGACTTTATCACCGGGGTTCGCGTGGTGTGCCATGTGGGAGGGCGGGCGTGCAGGATTGCCTGGGTGTGAGATAGTGGCGTAAGAGGTTGCTGTTATACTCGTGTCTTAATTACACTAATCATTCTTGTTCGTGATGCTTCGCTCTGGACACTTCTTTTCAATTGTGTGTTGTCTTGTCTTATCTAAACCCATTCTTCTTCTTTGTGACTTACCTTCTTCTCTTCGGAATCCGCACTCGTCACCCACTACACAATTAGATGCCTGCGCCACTGTTATGCCCCACGATGCTCCACAAGGCAGGGCAGTCACGTCATTCAGTGTATGAACCGGGTTAACATGTGCACGCCACCAACGGCCGCTTCATTATAAGTACTGGAACAGCCCTATTAACCGCAAGGCAATGTTAATCCCAGATCGTGAGCTGCTCCTGCAGCAACAAAGCAACGGGCCGGATGTCTCATTTTTAGAGCTGAAGACTTTAAAGATGAATATTGCAATCAGGCATGACCAGGACTGGCTTGTTTCTACAGCAAATCAGTAGGATTAACTTAGAATAAATAAATAAACGCATCACACCGTGTAAAGAGTCAATAAAAAAAATAAAAATTAAAAAAAAAAAAAAAAAAAAAAAATGCGGATTGAAAATAATGTACAGTTAAAAAAAAGAAAAAAAGACCTTTGCGACCACTCTCCCCAACCCCCCCCAAGTTAACCCCGAAAAAACCCCTCACCAGCCACACCAACACACAGGCCCCACCCTAACCAATAAAATACCACGAATCCACAACACCACCAATAAACCCACAAAGCATCCCCCCCCCAACAATCGCACCCTCCCCCCCCAGCCCCTCACCCCACCCCCACCCTACCCCCCCCCTCTCCCCCACCCAACCCATGTCCACCTCCCAACCCAGCAACCTACTCACCAATCCCGGCATCAACCCCCCCCCCAGCGAACCCTGGCCCCCACTCCTCCCCCCACCACCTCCGTATATCACGTGCAATTACCGCAAAATCCCACAACCTGCACCGCCCCCCACCATGTCAAAGATCCTAAATGTCTTAAATATCTTTGGGACATCACATTTATAACTCACACTCTCCCGCCACCCCCCCCCCCCGCCCAACCACCCACCCCCCAAGCCCTCCTTGGCCTCTCCCCCGCATCACCACTAACCACCCACCCACCACCCATAGACCCCTCCCTCCTCACCCCGCAATCCGCCCTCCCCCCCCCCCCCGTTCCAGCCCCCCCCATCACCCCAGCTTCCCGCCCCCCACACCTCCCACACCCGCCCCCCAACGCCCCGCCCCCGGCACCCGCACACCCCCCAACCCCCCCCCCCCCCTCAACCCCCCAGACCCAAATATAAGCCTTGCCATACCCCCTCACCCCCCCCGCAGCCCCAGAGCCCCCTCCCCAAACATCCACCCCCACCCCCATCACCCCTTCGTCCACCTCCGCCCCCCCCCACCTCACCATCCCCCCTTACTCTATTCCTTTATACAGTACCATGCTGCCCAACCCGTACACATCTACCGCCCCATCCCCCCCCCGAGTCCCTCCAGCAGTTCCCCTCACCTGTGACCTTAAAGCATGAAATAATCAGGTCTGTCCTCTGATGGTTTTTCCCCCTCCTTGGAGAGAAGTGCGGCTTCTATTGCTGGGCCCTCCTTCTAGAGCCATGCTTATGCGGCTCAAGATTAACATCTCGCGCCTCACAGTGGGCAAAGATTGCACTCATATCACCTAGCCATGCTGCCATTCTGCCTCTGAGCAAGCTCTGGTCACGCGCTGTAGTCCCCGGCCTCAGGAGTCCATCCGGCCTGCCGCCCCATGAAATCACTTTTCAGGAGAGGTCCAGCTGGCGCGCTCGGCTGGCCTTTCTTTGCGCGCGCTGCCTGGAGTAGTGCCTTTTTGGCATGGCAATGTAACCTTCTCTCTCTCCATATGCAATAAAAAAACAAAGGACAGAGGGCCTTCCTGAATGATGCCATAGATTGCTGACTGAGGTGCAATCTCTCTAGCTGCCATTCTCTTTCCTGTTCGGCCATCTTTGTGCAGTGCAATGATGACTGCAGGTGTTTCTTTAGAGATAACCATGGTTCACAGCAGAGAAACAATGATGCCAAGCAGCAGCCTCTGTTTAAAGTGTCCAGTGGCGTCATTCTGACTGAATCCTGACAGATTGATCTGCAGCCCTGTCCTCATCACCACCCACACCTGTGTTAATGGACCAATCACTGAAACCATGGTAGCTGCTCCTTTAAGGCAGGGCTGCAATCACCATGAAATGTGTTTTGGGGATAAAGTTCATTTTCTAGGCAATTATTGACTTTGCAATTAATTGCTGTTACGCTGATCACTCTTTAGAACATTCTGGAGTTTATGCAAATTGCTGTTATAAAAACTGAAGCAGTAGACTTTGGAAATTCAGTTACTTTTTCCATCAATATAACGTCTTCCTGCAGACAGATGCTGCACTGGGAGTCATTTTACTGCGTGGCATGGGGAGTACCAAGATGGCGGCTGGTGGCTTCACTTTTTCTGGCTATCAGCAGAAGAAAGTGATTATTAGCAAAGTCACACAGACACTAACCTGAACATCCAGCCTCCACTCTAGGTTGTGGTAAGCTGGCTGACTGCAGCGCAGATGGCTTAGCATGCTGCGGATCTGGTCTTTGTGCTGCACGTAGAGCTGGAACATATAGATTAGAGAAGCTCCTCAGCTATCTGATGCAGATATCATGCACAGGGATTGTTTCTCCACAAGTTTCAAATGAAAACTTTACCTGCAACAGGCTCTGGTTGAGCTGGTCAGTGAATCCAAGCGATAAGACCGAGTCCATAAAATCCACCTCAGAGATCTGGACGTACAGAGAGAGAGAAGGTCAGACAGGACGACGCAGAGCAGATCTATCTGCCATTAGCTGCTGGTTGGTCATGTAGGCCCAGTTCACAGCACAGACTGCCTGAAGGCTGCAGACTGTGCTGGGGGGGCAACATCAAGGCTTCAAACTTTCATTTTTGATAAAGCTTCTAGTTAGAGTGGCTCAGGTTATCCTGAGCTATCTCTATAGTTCTGCTGCTATAGGCTTAGACTGCTGGAGGACATAGGGACCCCTTTTTCATCATTCTGCTTCATTCTATCTCTATTCTCCCACTCTGCAGAATCTGTTGGTTTGTTTTTACTCTTATTTGCTTTAGTTTCCTGAGCTGAACAAAGGATGCTCTTTAGGGGTTCAGTGGGTTTATTAATCCCGCTGTTTGAACTCCTCATCCTGGTTTCACTAGTCTGTGCTCTCAAACTGTCCATCAGGAAATGTTGCTGCTATCTGGAATCTGGTTCATCCTTTACTTCCCCAGGCTGGGAGTCTTACCCTGAACCAATAAATCTGCGTTCACACTGAATGCGATCTGAGCATCAAAAACACGCAGACGCAGAAATCTGGACTCTGGATCAAACTGGTCCAGCTGCTGACGCTCTGGTTGTTTACTGGTCTGTTCTGTAGCTTTAAGCCAGAGAGCAGCTCGGCTTTATTTACTTTATCAGTTGAAAAATAGTTTGAAGAGGTTTTTAAGTGAGAAAGTCCACCTCCAAACATCTCAGTTGCATCGGATTATGGTATCCCCTATAGTCTGCAGTTCTTATTGGGAGCTCCAGAGCCTCCAGCATAACCCCACCAGGAGGACGGCGCTGGGAATACCCGCTGGGGAGCCTCTCTGCTGCTGCGGCGCCACCTGTGGGGGCACTTTCCTGCTGACGCTCGTAGGGCTGGGAAGGAAGGCGAATAGTAAAGAAAGATTCTTTATGGTTTGGAGGTTATAAAAAAATAAAAAAAATTTAATAATAAAAAACTGCGCGAGGAGAAACCAGAATATATAATCCAATATTTTCACATTTCTAGTTAATTTGCGTATTTATAAACTGCTCCTCTATAGTTGATAAAAAATGTTTTAGTGCAGCAATAATGATCAGAGCTGTTCATGCTACATAACGATCCATTCCTCCTGCTTCTCTAACGTGGAGTTTAACTCCTAGTTATTTATTTATTCCTCATATGCAGAATGTCTGCGGTGAATGTCTGCGATTAATGTCTGGAGATTCAATGTCTCTGCGAATTTATGTCTGCGAGCGTGATTGTCTACGGTGATTGTGATTGTCTTGTCGCGCGTGAATTTTTTGTTTATGGCATTTTTTTTATTGCGGGTGATTGTCTGCGGTTGAATGTCGCTCCCCTTCTCTTGGGGTACTAGCGCGGTGTGAATGTCTCGCGATTAAATGTCTGCGAATAATGTTCTGCGATGTAATGTCTGCGCGTGGAATGTTTGCGGGTGAATGTCTGCGAATGAATTGGTCTCTGCAGGATAACGTGCTGATGTCTGCGGTTGAATGTCTGCGGGTGGAATGTCTGCCATTAATGTGTGCGGTTTGAATGTCTGCGGTTGAATGTATGGCGGCGTGGAATTGTCTGCGCGTGTTGAATGTCTGCGCGTGAATGTCATCGCGCATTAATGTCTGCGATTAATGTCTGCGATTAATGTATGCGATGAATGTCTGCGGTGAATGTCTGCGATGAATGTCTGCAAAGGGTTGCATGTCGCTTGCGTGTGAAATGTCTGACGGTGCTCATGTCTCTGCGATTAATGTTGCGGTGAATTGAATGTCATGCGGATTAATTTTATTGTCCTGCCGAATTAATGTTTCTGCGGGTTGATGTCTCGCGGGGTGAATGTCTGCGGATGAATGTCTGCTGGTGAATGTTATCGGCGTCATTGTTTGGTCTTCCGCGGGATTAATGGTATGCCTTCTCCTGCATTATTTTCTGCACGAGGTGAAGTCTACGATTATGGTATGCACGCGATTATTGTCTGGGTTGAATGTCTGCGGCCCCCGTGAATTGATTGTCTGAGCCCGATGCAATCGGTCTGCGTATGAATGTCTGGATGAATGTCTGCGGTGAATGTCTGCGGTGAATGTCTGCGATTAATGTCTGCGGTGAATGTCTGCGGTGAAATGGTATAGCGGCGTCATGTGCGTGAATGTCTGCGAGCTGAATGTCGCTGAGGTGTTGAATGTTTTCTGCGGTGAAATTGATTGTCTGCGCTGTATGCATGTCTTGCGGTGGTGAATGTCTGCTCGTATTGGAATTGTCTACTGCGATTAATAGTACTGCGGTGATTTTGGTAATGGCCTGCCGATGAATTATGAATGTCTGCGTGTGGAGGTCCTGCGAGTGAAGTACTGCGGGTGAATGTCACTGGGGTGTTGATGAATGTCTTCTGCGCAGTGAATGTACTGCTGCGTGTGAATGTCTGCGGGTGAATGGTCTGCGGAAGTTGTGTGAATGTCTGCGTTGTGAGTTTGCTGCGATGAATGTCTGCGTTTTAATGTCTTGCGCGGAAGAACAGTCTGCGGTGAATGTGCCTGCGATGAATTATGTCTGCGGATGTAATGTCGTGCATGCGGTGTGAAGTCTCTCATGGCGGTGATTGTCTGCGCATTAATGTCCTGCATTATTAATGTCTGCGGTGAATGTCTGGCGGGTGGAATGTCTCGCGATTTAAACAGGTATGCGGTGAAGGTCTGCGGCATGTTCGTGATTGTCGACTGTCAGCGATTAATTGTCCTGCGTGGTGAATTGTGTATGTCTGCGGTGAATGAATTGAATGTCTTGCGCCGTGAATGTCTTCGCGCAGGTGAATGTCGTGCGGTGCGTGGATTGGTCTGCGATTAATGTCTGCGCGCTGTTTGTCTGCAATGGCGTATGCGATTAATGTCTGCGGTGAATGTCTGCGGTGAATGTCTGCGGTGAATGTCTGCGATTAATGTCTGCGATTAATGTCTGCGGTGAATGTCTGCGGTGAATGTCTGCGGTGAATGTCTGCGGTGAATGTCTGCGGTGAATGTCTGCGGTGAATGTCTGGCGTGTAGCGGATTAATGTATGCGATGGAATCGTACTGCGGTTGAATGGTCTGCAGCGTGAAAATGTCTGCGATCGGATTAATGTATCGAGATTGTCTGCGGGTGAAATGTCTGCGACTGACAGTCTGCCGATGAATCGATGAATGTCTGCGGAAGCGATGACGGTCTGCAGGTAGAGTCTGTCTCTCCCAAAAAAACCCTGGATCAGCTTTTCTGATTGGCTGATGGGTTCCAGTTCATTTGCTAAATTCCAGCATCTGACGCTCCGATTTTGTACGATTGCTTTTCCAGGAGCTCTGGGCGCCCCGATACTGATCCTGCTGACTGCTGAGATGCTTGCCCCCCCCACCGACCCTTTCCAGGTAAAAGGGGTAAACAGGAATTGCTTGACGCACCAAACGATTTCAGTAGTTGTGACACGCAGAGCTTTAGACGTCCTGCCCAGCCTGAAGCAGAAGACGCCCACTAGCAGCTAAGAGGATTGGTAGGAGGATGCGGTTTCCTGCTCACCATGTGCTTGGAGCTCTCCGTCATCAGGAACATGAGGCCTTCCACTCCATGCTGCACCATCTCCACCGGAACGCTGAGCTTCCCTGCAGACAGAGGGTCAGGGTTAACCCATGCAGCTCCATGGGATCCAGACAGACCACCTCCTGACGCAGAGCAGCATCCGCCATCCATCACTGCAGCTGCTGGAAGCTCCGCCTTCATCTTTACAGAACATCAGCAGCAATAAGGGCCGTCAGGTTCTTTTGGGTCAGCAGAGGTTCTGCTCTGACCTGCGGAGCTGAATGTCCCATCCATGCTCCCACTACAGACTGCTGTCCTATTATAGCTGAACGTCTGGGGGCAAGGGGGTCTGGGCGGCCAACGGCGTGTAAAATCAGAATTGAGTCCAGCAAACGCCTCATTGATGCTAGCGAACACAGAGGGAATCTGGCAGGTAAAAGAGCTCCAGACCACCAGGTGGCGACGATGATCAACCAGAACAGACGTCACTCCAACATGAACCTGCCGCTTTTTAGAAAAAACTCATTCTATAGAAGTCTTCCTAAACATACAGACCATCTGGGGCCACCTCACATGCGCTCCCCATCACCATGTACCAGGCGGCCCCCCCACCAGCTCCATCGACTGACGAGGCGGCCCCCACAGTCTCCTTCACTGAACAGGGGGCCCCCACTGCTCATCTCTTGACTTTTGAAGGAAGGTTTGTGGTGGGCTGGTCTTGGCAGGTGTGGGTTGCGTTGTGGTGTAGGGGGCCTGCTAGGGCTGTGTACACGGTGTCCGGAGGGGGGCCCGGTGGCCCCCCTACCCACCGTGGTGGCGCCGGTGAGGATGAGGACCGGGGCGCCTTCCCCCCAGGGGGGAGAGAGGGAGAGGAGGAGGGGACCGGGCGGCAGGGCCTCCCACCTGGGAGGAAATGAAGCGAGGGGTGCGGCTTGCAGAGGTGGCGGTGGAAGCGTGTGCGCCTACACAACAGCGTGCGAGTTAGGTAGTGTAGCCGCAGTGCACATAGTGACAGGCACCCAGCCTGCCCACCGTCTGTATATACCATCTAGGTGTGAGCCCCCACATTGCCTCCCATCATGACACGACGAGGGGCCGTATACCACCATGATCTCCTCTCAACTGCATCACGATTGGAGCACACCAACATGCTCATCATGCTGTGTCCAGATGGTAAGCGCACACCCTCACAGCTAGCCCACGTCTCCATCACTGACGTGCAGGGGCAGTCCCATACCCACCCAATCCGAGCCTCTGCCGATCACTCTTGACACAGGGGACGACCCTCCACAGCTAGCCATCACTGACCAGGGGCACCCGGGTACAGAAGACTGCCCGAGGTCACGAGCACACAGAGGAGAGGGGAGACACCCCCATCACTTATCGCTCTCTCACTCAATGACGATGGGGCCCCTACACAGTCCGACCCATGTTAGTCCATCAGAGTCTCGCTCCAGAGGGCCCCCCTCCGACTCACATCATACTGACGAGGTGGCCTAGTGACAGTGTCCTGTCTCCGCAACGAGAATCAGGCCCCCCTCAATCAGCGTTCCTCTTTCAGTCAGCACCAGCAGGGGCGTTCTCACCCCGCCTCCCATAGCTCCATCGACTGCAGACTCGGGACGGGCTGGGCAGCGACGACACAGCGTCACATCTAACGCGCTCATCGGAGCCCCCAAACCTAGCTATCTACTAGCAGTGAACGCACGGTGGGGGCACCCCACAAGAGGCTCGTTCATCAATGAGCGAGGTGCCCGCCAAGTCTCCGAGAATCAGGACGAGGGGGGTTCTCTGGGGCCACAGCAGCTTCATCGCGTGTGTAGTACGTGGATCGTAGTCAAAATCGTAGAAGGCCTGGCTCTGATTGATCGCAGCCGTTGGGAAAATAACAGGAACCATGCCCGCCTTCAGACAAATTTAGGAGAGGGGAAGGAGAACTTTTGTTTACGACCAGCCCACCCCTCCTCTTCGTCATCAACCTGCCGCTTCAGCCTCCAGTGTTCCCCAAAGGTGCGCGTCCTGCAGACAGACAAGAAAGAAAAGAGGGTCAGCCACAGCGCTTGCTTCTACAGGAGACCCAGGAGGAGGGAGGTAGACCATGAGGTATTTGTGTGATGTTTAACATGAAGGTTCCGTCAGAAACAGGCCCCCCCCCACCATCTAGCTCCATCAGTGACCAGGGGCCCCCACTAGCTCCATCACTGACGAGGAGCCACCACAGCTCCAATCACTGACCGGGCCCCCCACTAGCCTCAATTCACTGCGAGGGTGAGACCCCCACCAAGCTCATCACTGAACCAGGGCCCCCCACCACAGCTCCATCATGACGAGGGGGGGCCCCCCACAGTTCCGTCAGAAACCAGGCCCCCCACCACAGCTCCATCAGTGACCAGGCCGGCCCCCCACACGCCACCATCACTGGACGTGGAGGCCCCACAGTTCCGTCAGAAACCAGGCCCCCCACCACAGCTCCATCAGTGACCAGGGCCCCCCACTCAGGCAGCCTACCATCACTTACTGATGGGGGCCCACAGCTCCATCACTGACGAGGGGCACCCAATGCCCATCACATGACGAGGAGCCCCCACAGCTGTCCCTATCAGTTGACGAGGGGCCCCCACAGAGCCTCCAATCACTGACGAGGGGCCCCACAGCTCCATCACGGCGAGGGTGGCCCCACCGCTCCATCAGGAACGAGGAGGCCCCCAGCAGCGTCATCACTGACGAGGGAGCCCCCAGTTCCGTCAGAAACCGGCCCGCCCCCCACCGCTCCAATCACTGACGAGGACCCCACAGCTCCATCACTGACCGAGGGCCCCCACAGCTCCATCACTGACGAGGGGCCCCCACAGCTCCATCACTGACGAGGGGCCCCACAGTTCCGTCAGAAACCAGGCCCCCCACCACAGCTCCATCACTGACGAGGAGCCCCCACAGCTCCATCACTGACGAGGGGCCCCCACAGCTCCATCACTGACCAGGGGCCCCCACAGCTCCATCACTGACGAGGGGCCCCCACAGCTCCATCACTGACCAGGGGCCCCCACAGCTCCATCACTGACGAGGGGCCCCCACAGCTCCATCACTGACCAGGGGCCCCCACAGCTCCATCACTGACCAGGGGCCCCCACAGCTCCATCACTGACGAGGGGCCCCCACAGCTCCATCACTGACCAGGGGCCCCCACAGCTCCATCACTGACCAGGGGCCCCCACAGCTCCATCACTGACGAGGGGCCCCCACAGCTCCATCACTGACCAGGGGCCCCCACAGCTCCATCACTGACGAGGGGCCCCCACAGCTCCATCACTGACCAGGGGCCCCCACAGCTCCATCACTGACCAGGGGCCCCCACAGCTCCATCACTGACGAGGGGCCCCCACAGCTCTATCACTGACGAGGGGCCCCCACAGCTCCATCACTGACCAGGGGCCCCCACAGCTCCATCACTGTCGGTGCGGGCCTTAGTGCTGTAAAACTTATACCCCAGGAGGGTCTGACCCATGTATGATTACCCAGTATTTACCACTGAGCTCCACGATCACTGTCCAGAGGATGACCAGGAGACGACCTCCCACCACACGCCTACCTAATCACTGACGGTTAGTAGCTCGTGGCCCATTACATCATTGTTAGCACTGTCCATTCATCATGAAACCAGGGTGCCCCCACAGCCTCCAACGCACTCGAACGAGGTGGCCCCCACTCAGCTATTTATATTCACTTGTAATCCGAGCAGGTGACCCTACCACCAGTGTGCTCCATCACTGACCACCGGTGGCCCCTCAAGCTGTCCCCTCACTCAATTCTCGCCCCCACACGGGGACCTGCTACCGCCACAGTCTCCATCACTGACCACAGCGCTGGCGAGCCCATATCCAGACAGCTCACTACTCATCGACACGTAGGGAGGTGCCCCCACAAGCTCCAATTCACTGACCTCCAGGGGCCCCCACAGACTCCCCATCACACCTGACCAGGGGCCCCCCAACGCCATCCATCTCAACTTGCTCGGCCGGCCCGGACTAACCCCACACCATACATTCTTGTAGCTTCGCCTATTATGTCGATCCCCTTATGTCCAGACACGAGACGCACTCTCTGCATCCCGTACCACTAAGCAATGCATCACGCGACGAGTGGGCGCCCCACGAGCTATTATCTAATGGATGACCGAAATGTATGGATCCTGACGCAACGTATGACTCCCTATGACAATCGCCAACACCAGGCAGGCTTCCCGACTAGCTCCATCACTGACGAGGGGCCCCCACAGCTCCATCACTGCGACTTGAATGTGGGGATTTCCACATCACACAGACTCATCCATCGCCACTGACCAGACGGGCCCCCACAGCTCCAAACGAGATGGAGCCCCAATACAGCGTCCATCAGTGACCAGGGGCCCACCTGCTTCCTATCCTGTACGAGGGGCCCCCACAGCTCATAACATGACCAGTGTGGCCCCAGAGCCCATCCATACTGAACAGGGGGCCCCCACAGCTGCATCACTCACTGAGAGGGGCCCCCCACAGCTATGATTCACTGGAGAGGGGCCCCCACCAGCTCCATCACTGCCAGGGGCCCCGACAGCTCCGATCTCACTGACCTAGGGGCCCCCCACGGCTCCATCACTGACCAGGGGCCCGCACAAGCTCCCTTTCAGCTGGACGCTCGCGAGGGGGGCCCCCACATAGCTTCCAGGGTCCGACAGTTACGCGACATACACCAACACGACGCTAGTTCCAATGACGATGTGCCTGTGCCCCTCACACGCTCCTACGCACTGACCAGGGGCTCCCCCACCCATGCCTCTCGCACTTCACTGACACACGGGGCACCCCACCAGCTCCATCATGACGGAATGGGTCCCACACTAGCTCTATAATCAACTGAACGTGGGGCTCCCCCACAGCCTACAATAAGATGACCATGCGAATTCTCGAGTTTGTGCCCCACAGTCTCTATCTACATGACCAGGTGGGCCCCCACAGCTGATAAATCAACTGACGTGATGAGGAGGGGCCTACCCACTAAGACTCACTATGCACTGTCCTGGGCGCCCCACACTTGAGCTCCATCACTGATCCAGGCGCAGCTGCGCACCCACAGCCCTCCCTTCACTGACCCCCAGGGCGAGGCACCCCCACAGCCTCCCTCATCACTGACGTGGGCACACCACGAGCCGCAATCTGACTGCTACTCCGGGGCCCCACGAGTGCCTTCCATGCACTGACCAGGCGGCCCCCTCAGCTATATTAACTGCTTCGATCGCCATCGGGGCCCCCTATACAGCCGCCTATCACCTGACCGACGAGCTGAGCTCGCTCACAGCTCCTATCACTCTGACCAGGGGGCGCCCACAACCAGTCACATCAATGCGTAGGTCGGCGTCCCCCGACGAGGCTCCATTCACTATCGCCTTACGACGTGGTGCGCTGCCTCCCCCACCCACGCTCCAACTCACTGACCACGTGCGGCCCCCCACAGCTCCATCACTGACCAGGGGTCCACGCCAGACTACCACCTTGTGTTGGTGTGCTTAGTGCCAAAGCTCCCATCACTGACCAGGGGCCGCCCACAGCTCCATCAATGACGAGGTGCGCCGATGCCTCGCACTCCCACAGCTCCAATCACTGACACAAGGCGGCACTCCCCAAGCTCCCATCAATGACCTCGTGGGCCCACCTCAGCTCCATCACTGTCCAGGGCCCGGCCCCCACAGCCTCCTATCACTGACCAGGTCGGCCAACCCCCACAGCTTGTCATCACTGATGAGGGGGTCGGGGCCCCCACAGCTCCATCACTGACCAGGCAGCGCTCCCGAGCAGCGTCCTATCACTGACCAGGAGGCACCCCACAGCTCCACTCCAATGACCAGGGGCCCCCACAGCTATCACTGACCTGGGGGCCCCCACAGCTGCTATCACTGACGATGGGGGCTCCCCCGCTCAGCTATGATTCCTATCGTTAGAGGGGACCCCACAGCTTCCATCCAATGACGAGGGTGGCCGACGGGCCTCCCTCATGCTCCCCGGATCACCTGACCAGAGGGCACCCCACATGTCCTTCACTGTATCCCAGGTGCCCCCACAGGCCTACCACGTCATCGACACCAGGCTGGCTCCCCTACGAGCTCTCCATAACTAGACCAAGGGGACGCCCCACGCTCCTCTCTCATGTAGAGGGGCCTCCCACACAAGCTACTCCGGATCTGATCTGAGAGGGAGCCCAGGGCGGCACCCCACTAGACTCTCACCTATCATGATCTGGTGGCCACTCCTCCACACCCACCACAGTCCCAGTCACACTAGTACCAGGGATCCTCCTCTAGCTCCATCACACTGTACTGTGGTGCTCCCTATGCCGCCTCCTTCAATGACGACAAAGGGGCGGGGCTGGACAACCCTCAGCTCCATCATCTGATCGAGGGGACACCTAAGCAGCACTTAACTGACCAAATGGCAGGCCCCACGAGTCCATCATGGACCAGGAGGGGCACACCCGCAGTAGCTCCCATGACCAGGGGCCCCCACAGCTTATCACTGACCGAGGCTGGGCCCCAAAGCCTCCGATCACTGTGACCAGGGGCCCCCAGCTCATATCACTGACAGGGGCCCCCACAGAGCTCCTCATGTATCACTGACCAGGTGTGGCCCCCACAGCGTTTGCATACACTGGACGAGGGGCCCCCACTCAGCTCCACTCACTGACCAGGGGCCCCCACAGCTCCATCACTGAAACCAAGGGTGCCCGTCAGCTCCTTAATCACTGACCAGGGGGGCGCCCCCATTCTAGCTCCATCTTACTGACCAGGGCCCCCCACAGCTCCAACACTGGACCGGTGGCCCCCACAGCTGTATATCAGTGACCAGGGGACCCCACAGCTACAGCTCCATCAACTGGAACCAGGGGCCCGCCGCCACAGCTAGCCTTCCAGATACTGGGACGAGGGGGCGGTATGGCGTTCCCCAACAGCTATCAGTGACGAGGGGCCCCCAAGCTATCATCACTGACGAGGTGGCCCCACCCGACACAGCTCCATCCACTGACTCAGGGGGCCCCAACACAAGCTCCATCAACTGACACCTTAGGGCCCCAAACGCTCCATTCAACTGACGAGGGGCCTCCCAAAGCATCCATACGACCAGGGGCCAGCCCACTATGCATCCGCAATCACTGACGAGTGGCGGCCGCCCCACGAGCTCCTGTTCACTGACCCAGGGGGGCGCCCACCAGCTACAATCACGTCTGACCAGGGGCCCCCCAGACTCCATCACGACAAGGGGCCCCCACAGCTCCAATCACTGACCAGGGGCCCGCCGCCACGCTATAATCAGTGGACCCAGGGGGCCCATCCACACTCCCATCAATGTACCAGGGGCCCCCACAGCTACATCACTGACGAGGGGCCCCTCAGCTTATCAGTGAAGAGGGGCTCCCCACAGCTCCATCACTGACCAGGGGCCCCCACAGCTCCATCACTGACCAGGGGCCCCCACAGCTCCATCACTGACCAGGGGCCCCCACAGCTCCATCACTGACGAGGGGCCCCCACAGCTATATCAGTGACGAGGGGCCCCCACAGCTCCATCACTGACCAGGGGCCCCCACAGCTCCATCACTGACGAGGGGCCCCCACAGCTCCATCACTGACCAGGGGCCCCCACAGCTCCATCACTGACCAGGGGCCCCCACAGCTCCATCACTGACCAGGGGCCCCCACAGCTCCATCACTGACCAGGGGCCCCCACAGCTCCATCACTGACGAGGGGCCCCCACAGCTATATCAGTGACGAGGGGCCCCCACAGCTCCATCACTGACCAGGGGCCCCCACAGCTCCATCACTGACCAGGGGCCCCCACAGCTCCATCACTGACCAGGGGCCCCCACAGCTCCATCACTGACCGAGGGGCCCCCACAGCTCCATCACTGACGAGGGGCCCCCACAGCTCCATCACTGACCAGGGGCCCCCACAGCTCCATCACTGACGAGGGGGCCCCCACAGCTCCATCACTGACCAGGGGCCCCCACAGCTCCATCACTGACCAGGGGCCCCCACAGCTCCATCACTGACGCAGGGGCCCCCACAGCTCCATCACTGACCAGGGGCCCCCACAGCTCCATCACTGACCAGGGGCCCCCACAGCTCCATCACTGACGAGGAGCCCCCACAGCTTCATCAGTGACGAGGGGCCCCCACAGCTCCATCACTGACGAGGGGCCCCCACAGCTCCATCACTGACGAGGGGCCCCCACAGCTCCATCACTGACCAGGGGCCCCCACAGCTCCATCACTGACCAGGGGCCCCCCACAGCTCCATCACTGACCAGGGGGCCCCCACCTGCTCCCCATCAGGACCAGGGGGCCCCCCACTAGCTCCATCATGCTGACCAGGGGCCCCCACAGCTCCTATCCACCTTGACGATGGGTGCTCCCTAACAGCTCCATACTGACCTGGGGCCCCCACAGCTCCATCACTGACCAGGGGCCCCCACAGCTCCATCTGATTGACCAGGGGCCCCCACAGCTCCATCACTGACCAGGGGCCCCCACAGCTCCATCACTGACCAGGGGCCCCCACAGCTCCATCACTGACCAGGGGCCCCCACAGCTATATCAGTGACCAGGATGAGGATTTAAAGCCGTCTAAATCATTATTATCATTTTCATTATAATTGTTAATATTATTATTATTTTAGGAACAATGCAAACCGGTTGTCTCCATGGAAACATAGACCTGTCTGCAGTCTCTCTGTGGTCTTTGTGGACAGCGCTGTTTGCAGCTATACGCAGATCTTTCTACCTAGAATGTGAAAGTCTTACTGGCTGCTCCTTCATAGATCTTTGGGTTGCTTCCTTTCCTCAGGAACTCCAGAGCGATGCGGCAGAACTCCTCCACCACTGGAAGGAAAACATGCAGAGAATGAAACATGGAAGACCTGCTGGTTCATCTAAAGCAGAAATAAAACAACCAGAGGAGGTCTGTGACCAACCAGCTTCATCAGAAACCTTTTAAAGAAACAAACGATCAAAAAGAAAAGATCAGATAAAACAAGAACAGGAAACATTAACTTCTAAACCTGCTTTAAGGACACAAGTATGAAAGCCGGGAAATAAAAATAAAACAAAGAATTAAGATCACTAAATAAAGTCTCTTTATTTGCAGAAACAGTTTTAATATTCTGAGAATTACAAAAAACTTTTTTCATCCAACTTGGTAAAGATTTAGAGAAACATTAAAGAAAATCATGTTCTTTAATAAATATTAACTTTTCTGACTGTTAATAAGACGCCATATTTAACAACTTTCTCCGAGGAAGAAACAAAAACCAACCAGTAATAAATTTATTTCCATAAATCTTAAAACCTCCAGAATGAAACGTTCTGCTGGTAGAGAACCAGGAAGTAAACCGCAGGTTTTCATTGGCTCAGGCGGGTCACGTGACACTCGCTGATTCTGCCGCTGACTTGGACTGAATGACCGCTAAATAAAGCAGAGGGTTCGGAACCCGGTTCGGTTCGGCTGATCTTACCGGAACCATCGACCTGGGTGAGGAAGCCCAGGTGGTCTTTATGCTCCTCAGACAGAACCAGCAGCATCCCGAGATCCTCTAGGCGGCGAGACGCCGTTCTTCTTCGCGGGTTGATTTTAGGCGCTAAAGGTAAAGTAGCGCCGCCTGCTGGTAAAGGACTCTAATAACCTTCCAATTAAATTAAACTAATTGGATATGAATAAATGAAATCATACGACAGTACTCCTGGTCACTTATATCTTTAGTGTTTTAAGGTATTAGCTGCTCTTTCCTTTGACATATTATTGGATCAGTCTGTTTGTGATTTTTGCAGAACTCTTTGATCTGAATCATGACGTCATTGTGTCTGGAACCTTCTTGCTGCAGAGCAACAGTGCTACAGTCTGTGCCTCCATGCAGCCCTCTGATATTCTGATCTACTAGAATTAATTTATATATCAGTTGTTTTGTTTTTCTAGCTTCATTTGTCCGCCGGCGTCCCGTTTCCACCGCTGGTTCTGTTCTATATGGCGTGTTCTACACCATCTGCTCTCACGCTCATGGAAGATTTGATCTACGTCAACTAGAATCTGAACCTTTTATTGTTTGTTGAAAGATCTGAGCAGCAATCCCTTCTAGTAGAGATATTTCTTCAACAGAAACACCCGACACATCTGTTTTTCCCCACAGTTACCTGAACTTTAAACACAATTTTCTGAACTTTCTGATCTAGGAGACTTTAGATGCAGGAAATACTCAGATATTCATCGTTTGAATAATTTCAGGCCAATTTCCAATGTTAATATCAGATCATTTCAATTCCTGAATGCTAATATTTAGCAGGACTGTTTATTTACCGATGCTGAAGCGTGACTCATAAAGACGTGTACTTATGTCAAAGAGGCTCATAACCACAATTATGCGTTATTCAGTTTATGTATTAAATCTTTACAGAAATATTAATTGTGCTTCATTGATTTTTTTTCTATTTAGCTGAATATTCTGACATATTTTTAAGGCAATCAGTTTCCTCATTTAATCTGAGCTCCAACTACTGATCCGGTTTCACTGAGAGCCAAAGAGGGAAAATGTAGATTTCCTCAGAGTGAGGCTGAAAGTGACTCCAACAGCGGATCAGAACCAATCAGTCCATCAATGTGGCCTCAGGTCCGGATCTACAGCCTCATCATTTTAATCAGATCTAAGATCAACATCCAGCATCAAAGCAGAAGGAAACATTTCCTCTCCGGTTCTGCAGAGAGACGGATCCAGTTCGGCCATCTTTGGCCTTTTCAGAGATTTTTGGTCCTTCTGAGTTTACAGGTGCTGGTCATAAAATTAGAATATCATGAAAAAGTAGATTGATTTCAGTAATTCCATTTAAAAAGTGAAACTTGTATATTATATTCATACATTACATACAAACTCATATATTTCAGATGTTTATTTTGTTTAATTTTGATGATTACAAATGACAACAAATGAAAATCTCAAATTCATCATATCAGAAAATTAGAATATTGTGAAAAGGTTCAAAATTGATGGCCCCTGGTGCCACACTCTAATCAGCTAATTAACTCAAACCACCTGCAAAAGCCTTTAAATGGTCTTTCAGTCTAGTTCTATAGGCTACACAATCATGGGGAAGACTGCTGACTTGACAGTTGTCCAAAAGACGACCATCGACACCTTGCACAAGGAGGGCAAGACACAAAAGGTCATCGCTAAAGAGGCTGGCTGTTCACAGAGCTCAGTGTCCAAGCACATTAATAGAGAGGCGAAGGGAAGGAAAAGATGTGGTCGAAAAAGTGTACAAGCAAGAGAGATAACCGCACCCTGGAGAGGATTGTGAAACAAAACCCCTTCAAAAATGTGGGGGAGATTCACAAAGAGTGGACTGCAGCTGGAGTGAGTGCTTCAAGAACCACCACACACAGACGTATGAAAGACATGGGTTTCTGCTGTCGCATTCCTTGTGTCAAGCCACTCTTGAACCACAGACAGCGTCAGAAGCGTCTTGCCTGGGCTAAAGAGAAACAGGACTGGACTGCTGGTGAGTGGTCCAAAGTCATGTTCTCTGATGAAAGTAAATTTTGCATTTCCTTTGGAAATCAAGGTCCCAGAGTCTGGAGGAAAAGAAGAGAGGCACTTCATCCACGTTGCTTGAAGTCCAGTGTAAAGTTTCCACAGTCAGTGATGGTTTGGGGTGCCATGTCATCTGCTGGTGTTGGTCCATTGTGTTTTCTGAGGTCCAGGGTCAACGCAGCCACATACCAGGAAGTTCTAGAGCACTTCATGCTTCCTGCAGCTGACCAACTTTTTGGAGATGCAGATTTCATTTTCCAACAGGACTTGGCACCTGCACACAGTGCCAAAGCTACCAGTACCTGGTTGAAGGACCATGGTATCCCTGTTCTTAATTGGCCAGCAAACTCTCCTGACCTTAACCCCATAGAAAATCTATGGGGTATTGTGAAGAAGAAGATGCAATACACCAGACCCAACAATTCAGAAGAGCTAAAAGCCACTATTAGAGCAACCTGGGCTATCATAACACCTGAGCAGTGCCACAGACTGATCGACTCCATGCCACGCCGCATTGCTGCAGTAATACAGGCCAAAGGAGGCCCAACTAAATACTGAGTGCTGTACATGCTCATACTTTTCATGTTCATACTTTTCAGTTGGCCAACATTTCTATAAATCCTTTGTTTTTATTGGTCTTCAGTAATATTCTAATTTTCTGATATGATGAATTTGAGATTTTCATTTGTTGTCATTTGTAATCATCAAAATTAAACAAAATAAACATCTGAAATATATGAGTTTGTATGTAATGTATGAATATAATATACAAGTTTCACTTTTTAAATGGAATTACTGAAATCAATCTACTTTTTCATGATATTCTAATTTTATGACCAGCACCTGTATTTGCAGAAAGTCTTTCATCAGTTAAACGGATGTTAATGTTTTTATTCTTTTTATTTTACTATAAAAATGTTTTCCATCTGGAAATGAAAGTTCCGTCTGGATTACAAACATCCCGGATTGGAGTTAATAATTAATCTCTGAATAAACATTTATTCTAGTTATTTTAGATCTCACTGTTTGAAAGGAAAACTTCCTAAAATGACATTTAATCACATCTTCATCTATCATAGATCCATGATGGATGTATCATAGATCTATGATAGATGTACTATAGATCTATGATAGATGTACTGTAGATCTATAATAGATGTGAACACTCCATGAAGGTGATGCTGGCGAATCCTCAGATCAAACCATAGATCTATAATAGATGTACTGTAGATCTATGATGGATGTACTATAGATCTATAATAGATGTGCTATAGATCTATAATAGATGTGAACACTCCATGAAGGTGATCCTGGCGAATCCTCAGATCAAACCATAGATCTATAATAGATGTACTGTAGATCTATGATGGATGTACTACAGATCTATAATAGATGTGAACACTCCACGAAGGTGATGCTGGTGAATCCTCAGATCAAACCATAGATCTATAATAGATGTACTGTAGATCTATGATGGATGTACTACAGATCTATAATAGATGTGAACACTCCACGAAGGTGATGCTGGTGAATCCTCAGATCAAAGGAAGCAGCCATCTTAAATCTTAAATGTATTTTTATTGCATGTATAAAAAGGAAGTGACCAGAAGGTTTGTGTTGGTTGCTTAGCAACCAGTCTGCTCTAATATGGGAGTAGAAAAGTTGTCAGTTAAACGGCTTCATGCTAACAGGAGCTGCATCTATTAGCATCTAGAATCAAACCAAAACATTGAAAACACCGATTATAAAAATCATAGAAAGTAAATAAAATAAACCCCAACCAGCGTAATAAAGCACAGCACACAGACGGGAGGTCACCTGGAGACCCCCCCACCACCAGGACCCCATCATGGCGGAGAACATGGAGGTCAACCAGACCCACAGCACATGGACAATACTGACTCCCTCTGAGGAGGCCAAGGACCTCCATGCTTCTCAGCTCCACACCACCAGCAGTCTGTCCAGGAGCTCCTCCCAGCGCTCCTCCTCACCAGGAAAACCTCCTCCAGGAGAAAAAACAAGGGAATCAACGCTGATCTCCATTTAAATTCATCAACTGGAGATGGAGAAGGTGCTCCTGCTGGAGGGGAGGTGCTCCTGGCTTCAGACCCAAAGGCCTGAAACCAGGAAACTAACGATGGCGGGATGGAGAGCGCAGCAGAACACGGAGGAATCCATCCAGGATCAGAACCCGGTCCTGGACCGCTCCATCTGCAGGAGGTCGTGGTGGGAGGAGGTCATGGTGGGAGGAGGAGGTCATGTTGGGGAGGAGGTCATGGTGGAGAAGAGGTCATGGTGGGGAGGAGGTCATGGAGGGAGGAGGTCATGGAGGGGAGGTCTTTTATAGAGGGAAATAAAAAGGCCCTGAAATCAAAGATGGAGGAAGGATGGGAGCTCAGAAGGCGCCGTCGGCGTGTTCTGAGCTCCCATCGGTTCCGTCCCTCCTAGTGTTTAACGGCCTCAAACGGCCAATAAAAAGAGGCGTTGAATAAAAACTGAGGTGAGGAGGCGCTGCTGCCAGGCTGACCAATCACAGGCCTCCGTTAAAGCCCGCCATCTCAGCAGGCCGCCGCGTCACCGGATGGACTAGTGTTAGAGCAGGCTGGGTAGGCCCGGTTCTACAGCGGCACCACGCCGCTGTAGAACCGGGCCCAGTGTGGTCCGGTTCTACAGCGGCGTGGTGCCACTGGAGGAGCAGACCCAGTGGTTCTGTGGATCCACTGCTGGCGACCCGTTTGTTGGTTCTGGAGGTCCAGATGACAGTCTCTCAATATTAAAGGTTAAAAGAAAAGAAAGAAGCTGGGAGGTTTTCAGAGGAGGAGGGGGCGGAGCTTCACATGATGCTGCACTCCCTGGACGACACTTTGCCCTGCGGAGGAGAGAGAGACATCCATCAGAACATCACCATCTAGAACCAGCAGCACAGAACCGGGTTGGGGGAGCAGTTCTGGTCCAGCAGGACCGGCTGCATGAAGGCTGCTGGTTGGGGTTGCTATGGTAACCCTTTTCAGGGTCAGGGAGACCTGTTGACTGATTGGTCAGGAGGATGTTTCCACGCTGCGCTCAGCATTCCTCTATTTAAAAAGTGATGATGTCACAGCTCTAGATTTGCTTAAATTTAACAGAATTCACATTTTCAAACTTTGAAAAAAATGTAAAATTGGAGGTTGGAGGAGACGGGTCCATCGGGACTGGCCCCTCCCACCAGGACCGGCCCCTCCCACCGGGGACCGGCCCCTCCCACCGGGGAGGACCGGCCCCTCCCACCGGGGAGGACCGGCCCCTCCCACCGGGGAGGACCGGCCCCTCCCACCGGGGAGGACCGGCCCCTCCCACCGGGGAGGACCGGCCCCTCCCACCGGGGAGGACCGGCGCCTCCCACCGGGGAGGACCGGCCCCTCCCACCGGGGAGGACCGGCGCCTCCCACCGGGGAGGACCGGCGCCTCCCACCGGGGAGGACCGGCGCCTCCACGCTAACCCTGCCCACAGGCTGTAGTTACCTTCTGAGGCCTCTCCTCCTGCTCGTCACCGTTCTCCATCTCCATCTGAGTCTTGGTTACACTCCTCCTGGCCACCTCCTGCAGGAGCAGACCCACAGCCTGTCAGTGACTGGGAGCAGAGCGGGTGGCGGGTCACACGGGGACATCCTTACCTCGCCGTCCGAATCCACCAGGGAGGTCACCACCACACTTCCTGTCCCCCAGGAAGCTTGGCTCTTCCACAGCAGGTCAGACGGCGGGCTGTGAGCGACGCCGGCATCAGCGGCCCAAACCTGAGCAGAACCAGAAGGCCGACATGAGGACCGCTGGCATTCTAGAGCATGTAGATCTATAGAGCTGCTCTGATCTCACCGTCACAGACTGCCCCGCCTTCAGAACAAATTTAGGAGAGAACTTGTAGACCAGCTCCTCTTCGTCATCAACCTGCCGCTTCAGCCTCCAGTTCCCCAAAGGCTGGTCCTGCAGACAGAAGAGGTCAGCCACAGCTCTGCTTCTACAGGAGACCCAGGAGGAGACCCAGGAGGAGACCCAGGAGGAGACCCAGGAGGAGACCCAGTAGGAGACCCAGGAGGAGACCCAGGAACACCTCCACCCACCTTCTGGCTCTCGTTGTTCAGGGTGACGGCGCTTCCGTCCATGTCGGTGGGAGAAATGGTCACTGCTCCGCTGGCCGTGGCCTCCTCAGACACCAGCAGCTCCTCTCCTCTCGCCATCTCCAGCAGCTCCGCCTCCTCCTGAGGCCTTTTCCTCTTGGAGGAGCGGGAGGAGGAGGACCCAGTGATCCTGGAGACGGTCACTTGAGACGACGGGCTTGGAGACAGTTTGAGTCTGAGGAGAAAACCCAACATTGTTCAGTTATTGATTAATCACACCTGTGAGGTCTGGACCACGGCCGCAGGAGGCGCAGGAGGCGCAGGTCTAAAACACTAGTTTACCAGAGTCCTGTGCTCCTCCTCCCCCTCCAGCAGCTACCTGTGCTCCTCCTCCCCCTCCAGCAGCTACCTGTGCTCCTCCTCCCCCTCCAGCAGCTACCTGTGCTCCTCCTCCCTCTCCTTCGTGGCTACCTGTGCTCCTCCTCCCCCTCCAGCAGCTACCTGTGCTCCTCCTCCCCCTCCAGCAGCTACCTGTGCTCCTCCTCCCCCTCCAGCAGCTACCTGTGCTCCTCCTCCCCCTCCAGCAGCTACCTGTGCTCCTCCTCCCCCTCCAGCAGCTACCTGTGCTCCTCCTCCCCCTCCAGCAGCCTACCTGTGGCTCCTTCCTCCCTCCTCCAGCGTGGCTACCTGTGCTCCTCCTCCCCTCCAGCAGCTACCTGTGCTCCGTCCCTCCCCGTCCAGCAGCTCCCTGTGGCTCCTCATCCTCCCTCCAGCAGTCTACCTGTTGCTCCTCCTCCCCCTCCAGCGTGGCTACCTGTGCTCTCCTTCCCCTCCCAGCAGCTACCTGTGCTCCTCCCCCTCCAGCAGCTACCCTGTGCTCCTCCCCTCCAGCAGCTACCTGTGCTCGCTCCCCCTCCAGCAGCTACCTGTGCTCCTCCCCTCCAGCAACTACCTGTGCTCCTCCCCTCTCAGTCATCTACCTGTGCTCCTCCCCCTCCAGCAGCTACCTGTGCTCCTCCTCCCCCTCCAGCAGCTACCTGTGCTCCTCCTCCCCCTCCAGCAGCTACCTGTGCTCCTCCTCCCCCTCCAGCAGCTACCTGTGCTCCTCCTCCCCCTCCAGCAGCTACCTGTGCTCCTCCCCCTCCAGCGAGGCTACCTGTGCTCCTCCTCCCCCTCCAGCAACTACCTGTGCTCCTCCCCCTCCAGCAGCTACCTGTGCTCCTCCCCCTCCAGCAGCTACCTGTGCTCCTCCCCCTCCAGCAGCTACCTGTGCTCCTCCCCCTCCAGCAGCTACCTGTGCTCCTCCTCCCCTCCAGCAGCTACCTGTGCTCCTCCCCCTCCAGCAGCTACCTGTGCTCCTCCCCTCCAGCAGCTACCTGTGCTCCTCCTCCCCCTCCAGCAGCTACCTGTGCTCCTCCCCCCTCCAGCAGCTACCTGTGCTCCTCCCCCTCCAGCAGCTACCTGTGCTCCTCCCCCTCCAGCAGCTACCTGTGCTCCTCCTCCCCCTCCAGCAGCTACCTGTGCTCCTCCTCCCCCTCCAGCAGCTACCTGTGCTCCTCCCCCTCCAGCAGCTACCTGTGCTCCTCCTCCCCTCCAGCAGCTACCTGTGCTCCTCCCCCCTCCAGCAGCTACCTGTGCTCCTCCCCCCTCCAGCAACTACCTGTGCTCCTCCCCCTCCAGCAGCTACCTGTGCTCCTCCCCCTCCAGCAGCTACCTGTGCTCCTCCCCCTCCAGCAGCTACCTGTGCTCCTCCCCCTCCAGCAACTACCTGTGCTCCTCCTCCCCCTCCAGCAGGCTACCTGTGCTCCTCCCCCTCCAGCAGCTACCTGTGCTCCTCCCCCCTCCAGCAGCTACCTGTGCTCCTCCTCCCCCTCCAGCGTGGCTACCTGTGCTCCTCCCCCTCCAGCAGCTACCTGTGCTCCTCCCCCTCCAGCGTGGCTACCTGTGCTCCTCCTCCCCCTCCAGCAGCTACCTGTGCTCCTCCTCCCCCTCCAGCAGCTACCTGTGCTCCTCCCCCTCCAGCAGCTACCTGTGCTCCTCCCCCTCCAGCAGCTACCTGTGCTCCTCCTCCCCTCCAGCAGCTACCTGTGCTCCTCCCCCTCCAGCAGCTACCTGTGCTCCTCCTCCCCCTCCAGCAGCTACCTGTGCTCCTCCCCCTCCAGCAGCTACCTGTGCTCCTCCCCCTCCAGCAGCTACCTGTGCTCCTCCCCCTCCAGCAGCTACCTGTGCTCCTCCCCCTCCAGCAGCTACCTGTGCTCCTCCCCCTCCAGCAGCTACCTGTGCTCCTCCCCCTCCAGCAGCTACCTGTGCTCCTCCTCCCCTCCAGCAGCTACCTGTGCTCCTCCTCCCCCTCCAGCGTGCTACCTGTGCTCCTCCCCCTCCAGCAGCTACCTGTGCTCCTCTCCCCCTCCAGCAGCTACCTGTGCTCCTCCCCCTCCAGCGTGGCTACCTGTGCTCCTCCTCCCCCTCCAGCAGCTACCTGTGCTCCTCCCCCTCCAGCTGGCTACCTGTGCTCCTCCCCCCTCCAGCGTGCTACCTGTGCTCCTCCCCCCTCCAGCAGCTACCTGTGCTCCTCCTCCCCCTCCAGCGTGGCTACCTGTGCTCCTCCTCCCCCTCCAGCAGCTACCTGTGCTCCTCCTCCCCCTCCAGCAGCTACCTGTGCTCCTCCTCCCCCTCCAGCAGCTACCTGTGCTCCTCCCCCTCCAGCAGCTACCTGTGCTCCTCCCCCTCCAGCAGCTACCTGTGCTCCTCCTCCCCCTCCAGCAGCTACCTGTGCTCCTCCCCCTCCAGCGAGGCTACCTGTGCTCCTCCTCCCCCTCCAGCAGCTACCTGTGCTCCTCCCCCCTCCAGCAGCTACCTGTGCTCCTCCCCCTCCAGCAGCTACCTGTGCTCCTCCCCCTCCAGCAGCTACCTGTGCTCCTCCCCCTCCAGCAGCTACCTGTGCTCCTCCCCCCCCCAGCAGCTACCTGTGCTCCTCCCCCTCCAGCAGCTACCTGTGCTCCTCCCCCTCCAGCAGCTACCTGTGCTCCTCCCCCTCCAGCAGCTACCTGTGCTCCTCCCCCTCCAGCGTGGCTACCTGTGCTCCTCCCCCTCCAGCGTGGCTACCTGTGCTCCTCCTCCCCCTCCAGCGTGGCTACCTGTGCTCCTCCTCCCCCTCCAGCAGCTACCTGTGCTCCTCCTCCCCCTCCAGCAGCTACCTGTGCTCCTCCCCCTCCAGCAGCTACCTGTGCTCCTCCCCCTCCAGCAGCTACCTGTGCTCCTCCTCCCCCTCCAGCAGCTACCTGTGCTCCTCCCCCTCCAGCGTGGCTACCTGTGCTCCTCCTCCCCCTCCAGCAGCTACCTGTGCTCCTCCCCCTCCAGCGTGGCTACCTGTGCTCCTCCTCCCCCTCCAGCAGCTACCTGTGCTCCTCCCCCTCCAGCGTGGCTACCTGTGCTCCTCCTCCCCCTCCAGCAGCTACCTGTGCTCCTCCCCCTCCAGCAGCTACCTGTGCTCCTCCCCCTCCAGCAGCTACCTGTGCTCCTCCCCCTCCAGCAGCTACCTGTGCTCCTCCTCCCCCTCCAGCAGCTACCTGTGCTCCTCCTCCCCCTCCAGCAGCTACCTGTGCTCCTCCCCCTCCAGCAGCTACCTGTGCTCCTCCCCCTCCAGCAGCTACCTGTGCTCCTCCCCCTCCAGCAGCTACCTGTGCTCCTCCCCCTCCAGCAGCTACCTGTGCTCCTCCCCCTCCAGCAGCTACCTGTGCTCCTCCCCCTCCAGCAGCTACCTGTGCTCCTCCCCCTCCAGCAGCTACCTGTGCTCCTCCCCCTCCAGCAGCTACCTGTGCTCCTCCCCCTCCAGCAGCTACCTGTGCTCCTCCCCCTCCAGCGTGCTACCTGTGCTCCTCCCCCTCCAGCGTGGCTACCTGTGCTCCTCCTCCCCCTCCAGCGTGGCTACCTGTGCTCCTCCTCCCCCTCCAGCAGCTACCTGTGCTCCTCCTCCCCCTCCAGCGTGGCTACCTGTGCTCCTCCGCCCCCTCCAGCAGCTACCTGTGCTCCTCCCCCTCCAGCAGCTACCTGTGCTCCTCCTCCCCCTCCAGCAGCTACCTGTGCTCCTCCCCCTCCAGCAGCTACCTGTGCTCCTCCCCCTCCAGCAGCTACCTGTGCTCCTCCCCCTCCAGCAGCTACCTGTGCTCCTCCCCCTCCAGCAGCTACCTGTGCTCCTCCCCCTCCAGCAGCTACCTGTGCTCCTCCCCCTCCAGCAGCTACCTGTGCTCCTCCCCCTCCAGCAGCTTCCTGTAGGCGTTGATCTCCATGTCCAGAGCCAGCTTGACGTCCAGCAGCTACCTGTGCTCCTCCCCCTCCAGCAACTACCTGTGCTCCTCCCCCTCCAGCAACTACCTGTGCTCCTCCCCCTCCAGCAGCTACCTGTGCTCCTCCCCCTCCAGCAACTACCTGTGCTCCTCCTCCCCCTCCAGCGTGGCTACCTGTGCTCCTCCTCCCCCTCCAGCGTGGCTACCTGTGCTCCTCCTCCCCCTCCAGCAGCTACCTGTGCTCCTCCCCCTCCAGCGTGGCTACCTGTGCTCCTCCTCCCCCTCCAGCAGCTACCTGTGCTCCTCCTCCCCCTCCAGCAGCTACCCGGCCCCCCTCCCCCTCCAGCGCTACCTTCTCCCCCCCCCCAGCAGCTACCTGTGCTCCTCCCCCTCCAGCGTGGCTACCTTGCTCCTCCCCCCCCTCCACGGGCTACCTGTGCTTCCCCCCCCTCCAGCACACCTGTCTCCTCCCCCTCCACGGGGTCCTGTGCCCCCCCTCCCCCTCCAGCACTACCTGGCTCCTCCCCCTCCAGCAGCTACCGTGCCCCCCCCCCAGCCCCGCTACCTGTCTCCTCCCCCCCCAGCACTACCTTGCCCCCTCCCCCTCCACACTACCTGTGCTCCTCCCTTCCCCTACATAAAAGGCCCCCCCCCCTCCACAGCTACCTGTGCTCCTCCCCCTCCAGACTAAACCCGTGCTCCCCCCCTCCAGCACCCTGTGCCCTCCCCCCCTCCCGCCGCTACCGTCCCCCCCTCCGCTGGCTACCTTTGCTCCCCCCTCCCCCCCCCACCTCCTTTGCTCCTCCCCCCCCATGGCACCGTGCTCCCCCCCCCCTCCCGCTCCCGTCCCTCCCCCTCCCCGGTGGGGTACCGGCCCCCCCTCCAGAGCTACCCCGTGCCCTCCCTCCCCCCCCCCGCGCTCCTGGCTCCTTCCCCCCCAGCGTGGACCTGGCTCCTTCCCCTCCAGCAAGCTACCTGGCTTTCCCCCTCCAAAACGTCTACCTTGCTCCTCCCCCCCTCCAGAGACCTGTCTCCTCCCCCCCGCAGCTACCGGTTTCCTCCCCCTCCAGCAGCTACCTTTCCCCCCCACCCCCCCTCCAACACTTGGCTCCTCCCCCCCCAGAGCTCCTGTGCTCCTTCCCGTACCTGGGCCCTCCCCCCCGCAGACCTTTTCCCCCCCCAGCAACACCTGGGCTCCTCCCCCTCCAGCTACCTTCTCCTCCCCCTCCAGCAGCACCCCTTGCACCCCCCCCCCCTCCAAGACCTTGCCCTCCCCCTCCCACCCTTCCCCCCCCCCAGCCGGGCTCCTGTGCCCCCCCCTCCCGTGGGGACCCTGTGCCCCTCCCCCCCAGCGTGGTACCTGTGCCCCCCCCCCCCAGCGTGGGGTACCTGTGTCCCCTCCCCCCCCACAGTACCTGTGCTCCCCCCCCCCCAGGTGGCTAAAACCCGTGCTCCCCCCACCCAAAAAAAAACTCCTGTGCTTCTGCAGGGCGCTCAGCTGGTAACCCAGGCTCTCTATCCTGCTGCGGGACTCCTGCAGCTCCTCCCGGGCGGCGCCCATGGCCTTGTCGTTGATCTCTGAGGACATCTTGGCGTTATCCAGCTGGAAGGACAGCGACAGTGAAGCTGTGGACCAGAACAGGGAGCAGCAGATGGAGGGAGGAGAGGGAGGCTCCTACCTTAGCCTGGAAGGTCTGCTCCAGCTCCTCCTTGTAGAGGGAAACCTGCTCATCATGCTGCCTCCGCAGGTCCTGCAGGATCACAGAGTCAGGAGATACTCAGCAGAGATCATGGACCTCCATCACGCAGCATCTGTTCACCAGCCAGAATCAGAACCAGCCTTTGGGTCATCAGGGAGCGACCCACAGAGCTGCTTCTGATGACAGTGAAGGCTGAGCCGCGTCGCTGCGGCGGCTTCACCCTCTCATCTCTGCAGACCTTTTCCCCACTGGGTCAGACTAACACCTGATGGACTCACCTCATCTTATTTATTCCAGCTTTTATTCTCATTCCACTGTCACAGGAACAGAGCAACCATATTCCCCCTCTCTGCATTCAACCCCTCCCCTCGGGGAGCAGTGGGCTGGCCGGGCGCCCGGGGAGCGGTGGGGGGTTAAGGGTCTTGCTCAGGGACCCAGAGTGGAGGCAGTGGGGGTGGGACTGGAACTCTATGCCCAAACCATTAGACCAGCAGCGAGGCTACAGATGGACGGTTTAAAATATAGATGTTAAACAGTGCGTTTCACTAACGCTGGTTACCATGGTAACAGATGCCGACCAGCCAACCAGCTCTGGGACAGGCTAGCTTTCAGAATTGATCTGAATCCAAGGAAACGCTCCACCCAGCAGCCAATCAGCTGTTAGGAAACAATGACATACGTTTCACCGAAGAACAGCATCAAAATAATCTGTTCTTTATTTAACAGCTTTTATTTTTATTTCCTTCCCTCTTCTGCATCCGTTTCCTCCCGTCCTCATGCGCCGCTGCCATGCGATGCTTTATTCTATAACTGATGAAGCTAAATAATCCCAGCGTTGGGAGAAAGTCATTTGGATCACCATGACAACCGCAGGCATCCTGGAGCCGTGTCTCATTTCCATCACTACTTTATGGCATTAGGTTAATCCGGCTGTTACATACAATGAATAACCAACAGATTAATGGCCTATAATCTGATTTAAACCACTGTTTGCTACAGTGGATTATTTTATATCTAGAGTTTAAATTTAAAATGTTTGATATTTTTAGAAGCGATCCATAAATGTGAAGCTAGAACAGGAGAATTGAAGTGAACATGTGAAGCAGAGTTCAATCTGCAGCTCCTTCAGGAGCAGCCAGGTAAGAAATGGGATTTACATCAGATTATGTGTTAAAGACACTAGATTATTAATCTCTGGTTTCATCCTGGAACTACTGGGAAGCAATACTAATTTAAAATAAGGTATTCATTTAAAACTCTTATTTTCTTTCAATAACTACTAGATAATATTTTTTTTTTGTTTGAAATCTAATCCACCCCTCAGCAGAAACACGACACTCTGCCTTCTGATTGGTCTGCTAGCTTGAACCGCCCCCTCATACGTGCACCTCCACAGATTAGCGAGCTGCTAACGGGCTCGGTGGCACCGCTGATCCTGATGGTCATTGATGTGGACTAGGGGTGGAACGGTTCACAAAATCCACGGTTCGGTTCACGGTTTTCGGTTTGGTTCGGTATGTGTTGATTGTTACCCCGAAATCCCAAAAAATGAATGAATTGTAATTATGTTTAATGATCGCCTATTTTTCGCCTATGAGAAAAAGGAGCAGCGCATGAACCGAACGCAACACACGCGAACCGAACCGAGACAGTCGAACCGAACGGTTCGGACGGTTTTTATAAACTGTTCAATCCCTAATGTGGACTGGTTAAACTGGATAGACTGGGAGGAATCCCAGCAGGGGGTGCTGGCGGTACGGGCCCCTGGTGAGGCAGCTAGCAGTGGTTGGGAAACAGCTAAATCAGACTTTGATGGTCGGAGCTACGCAGCGCCCTGCAGACCCTCCATGAGCGCTAAACGCCATGACCTCTCAGACGGATGGGACTTCCTGTTAGCTGGACGCTAACGGTTTGACGCTAACAGATAGCTTACCTGCAGAGCCTGGGCCAGCTTGAACTCGTAGTCCTGTCTGACTCCAGAATCCACCTCCACGATCCTCTGCTCCTGCCGGTGGCGACTCTCACGAATCTCCTGAGGACAAACACAGCGCTGTGACGCCTGATCAGGCCGACAACCCACCATCATCACCATGGAAACCACAATGCATGTTCATTATTTTAGGCCAGTTAGATCAACTGATCTGGATTCTCATTTAAAGTCAGATATCAAACAAACCAGCAACAGAATCCGCGCCAGTAGCCACGGCGCTGGGATTACAGCGGCCTGGAGGCGGCGCTGATGCAGCCTGCAGCATCATCTGAAAGCAGAGAACTGCTGTTCTGGGCTTCAGACAGTTTGGCGTTTAGAGAAACGCCACAGAGCCAGAAACAGCCTAACGGTTCTCCACCATCAGGGTTCAGTCTGAGGCGGCAGCATCCAGCGGCGCTCTGATGTACAATAATGGCTTTTCTGTTTTAGAAAACTGGCCTTGATAGAATTGGTCACAGCGACAAACAGAGACGGATGGAAGAAACAAAACGTCCTCAGGGCAGCAGCAGCGCCCTCTGGTGGACAGCAGCAGCACTGCACTGACAGCGTTCCTTCAAAGCAGACCTGTGTGGCAGTGGGATGGATCCACTGATCTCTGCTTATTCACCCAGTAAAATGCCTCCCTGTGCAGCATTTAGCTGCAGGAAGACGTTCTACTGGTAATTTCCCAGTCAGTGGATGAACTAAGCAATAAATCCATCGATAGCCGATGGATCCTATAGTTTAGTCTGTAGACTAACATTAGTCTGCAGACTAACGTTAGTCTGGCTATCTCAGACTGACTGGAAGACAGTGACTGAGTTAGACACTGACATTGGGTCTAACGTTAGAAAATAGAAAGTAGAGGAAATAGAAAGTAATTCACTGTGAAATGTTAATGTAGTAAATCTTTATTAAATGATGATGTGTAAAATGTAATCACCATCAATCAATGTTTATTATATGAACATCATCAATTTATCACTTTTGGCTGATCTGTATCATTCTGCTCCATTAATGTTATTGTGATTTGTTTATATTAGGTGATTCATAGACGTCATAATGACTCTGCAGTGTGATTGGTCTGTTCATTTATTCTAAGTTAATCTACTGATGCTATCAAACAGCCAGTCTGTGTCAAAGTGAAGAATTTATCTTTATTTTAAGTCTTACCTCCCCCTGAAAATGAGAACATGGTTGTTTGATGCTGCAGAACATTGATTGTTTACATTGCGAACGGTCTAAGTAGGGAGTACCAATATGGCGGCCGTTGGCTTCACTTTAACCCCGTACTCCCAGCAGCTATCAGCCATCCAGTGAGCAGAGATGATCCCAGCTGCAGGCGGCGTCCCGCCGTCACTCACCTCCTCAAACATGTTCTTCCTGAACTCCAGCTCCTCGCTCAGGGACTGACAGCGGTTCTCCAGGTCCACGCGCATCAGGGTCTCCGCCTCCAGCTGCCGCTTGGCCACGGCGTGGCCGTCCTCGGCCTGGACACAGGACGACATTTAGCAGAGAACATAGAAACAACCTGCAGCTCACATCTACTATAGAGTTCACTACTTCTATAGAGGAAGAAAAGTCGCCTTTAGGAGACTAAAGTCGCCTTTAGGAGACTAAAGTCGCCTTTAGGAGACTAAAGTCGCCTTTAGGAGACTAAAGTCGCCTTTAGGAGACGTAAGTCGCCTTTAGGTAAGTCGCCTTTAGGAGACTAAAGTCGCCTTTAGGTAAGTCGCCTTTAGGAGACTAAAGTCGCCTTTAGGTAAGTCGCCTTTAGGAGACTAAAGTCGCCTTTAGGTAAGTCGCCTTTAGGAGACTAAAGTCGCCTTTAGGAGACTAAAGTCGCCTTTAGGTAAGTCGCCTTTAGGTAAGTCGCCTTTAGGAGACTAAAGTCGCCTTTAGGAGACTAAAGTCGCCTTTAGGAGACTAAAGTCGCCTTTAGGAGACGTAAGTCGCCTTTAGGAGACTAAAGTCGCCTTTAGGAGACGTAAGTCGCCTTTAGGTAAGTCGCCTTTAGGAGACTAAAGTCGCCTTTAGGTAAGTCGCCTTTAGGAGACTAAAGTCGCCTTTAGGTAAGTCGCCTTTAGGAGACTAAAGTCGCCTTTAGGTAAGTCGCCTTTAGGAGACTAAAGTCGCCTTTAGGTAAGTCGCCTTTAGGAGACTAAAGTCGCCTTTAGGTAAGTCGCCTTTAGGTAAATCGCCTTTAGGAGACTAAAGTCGCCTTTAGGAGACTAAAGTCGCCTTTAGGTAAGTCGCCTTTAGGAGACTAAAGTCGCCTTTAGGTAAGTCGCCTTTAGGAGACTAAAGTCGCCTTTAGGTAAGTCGCCTTTAGGAGACTAAAGTCGCCTTTAGGTAAGTCGCCTTTAGGAGACTAAAGTCGCCTTTAGGTAAGTCGCCTTTAGGAGACTAAAGTCGCCTTTAGGTAAGTCGCCTTTAGGAGACTAAAGTCGCCTTTAGGAGACTAAAGTCGCCTTTAGGAGACTAAAGTCGCCTTTAGGTAAGTCGCCTTTAGGAGACTAAAGTCGCCTTTAGGAGACTAAAGTCGCCTTTAGGAGACTAAAGTCGCCTTTAGGAGACTAAAGTCGCCTTTAGGAGACGTAAGTCGCCTTTAGGAGACGTAAGTCGCCTTTAGGAGACGTAAGTCGCCTTTAGGTAAGTCGCCTTTAGGAGACTAAAGTCGCCTTTAGGTAAGTCGCCTTTAGGAGACGTAAGTCGCCTTTAGGTAAGTCGCCTTTAGGAGACTAAAGTCGCCTTTAGGTAAGTCGCCTTTAGGAGACTAAAGTCGCCTTTAGGTAAGTCGCCTTTAGGAGACTAAAGTCGCCTTTAGGAGACTAAAGTCGCCTTTAGGAGACTAAAGTCGCCTTTAGGAGACTAAAGTCGCCTTTAGGTAAGTCGCCTTTAGGAGACTAAAGTCGCCTTTAGGTAAGTCGCCTTTAGGTAAGTCGCCTTTAGGAGACTAAAGTCGCCTTTAGGAGACTAAAGTCGCCTTTAGGTAAGTCGCCTTTAGGAGACTAAAGTCGCCTTTAGGTAAGTCGCCTTTAGGAGACTAAAGTCGCCTTTAGGTAAGTCGCCTTTAGGAGACTAAAGTCGCCTTTAGGAGACTAAAGTCGCCTTTAGGAGACGTAAGTCGCCTTTAGGTAAGTCGCCTTTAGGAGACTAAAGTCGCCTTTAGGTAAGTCGCCTTTAGGAGACTAAAGTCGCCTTTAGGTAAGTCGCCTTTAGGAGACTAAAGTCGCCTTTAGGTAAGTCGCCTTTAGGAGACTAAAGTCGCCTTTAGGAGACTAAAGTCGCCTTTAGGAGACTAAAGTCGCCTTTAGGTAAGTCGCCTTTAGGTAAGTCGCCTTTAGGAGACTAAAGTCGCCTTTAGGAGACTAAAGTCGCCTTTAGGAGACTAAAGTCGCCTTTAGGAGACGTAAGTCGCCTTTAGGTAAGTCGCCTTTAGGAGACTAAAGTCGCCTTTAGGTAAGTCGCCTTTAGGAGACTAAAGTCGCCTTTAGGTAAGTCGCCTTTAGGAGACTAAAGTCGCCTTTAGGTAAGTCGCCTTTAGGAGACTAAAGTCGCCTTTAGGAGACTAAAGTCGCCTTTAGGTAAGTCGCCTTTAGGTAAGTCGCCTTTAGGAGACTAAAGTCGCCTTTAGGAGACTAAAGTCGCCTTTAGGAGACTAAAGTCGCCTTTAGGAGACGTAAGTCGCCTTTAGGTAAGTCGCCTTTAGGAGACTAAAGTCGCCTTTAGGTAAGTCGCCTTTAGGAGACTAAAGTCGCCTTTAGGTAAGTCGCCTTTAGGAGACTAAAGTCGCCTTTAGGTAAGTCGCCTTTAGGTAAGTCGCCTTTAGGAGACTAAAGTCGCCTTTAGGTAAGTCGCCTTTAGGTAAGTCGCCTTTAGGAGACTAAAGTCGCCTTTAGGAGACTAAAGTCGCCTTTAGGTAAGTCGCCTTTAGGAGACTAAAGTCGCCTTTAGGTAAGTCGCCTTTAGGAGACTAAAGTCGCCTTTAGGTAAGTCGCCTTTAGGAGACTAAAGTCGCCTTTAGGTAAGTCGCCTTTAGGAGACTAAAGTCGCCTTTAGGTAAGTCGCCTTTAGGAGACTAAAGTCGCCTTTAGGTAAGTCGCCTTTAGGAGACTAAAGTCGCCTTTAGGTAAGTCGCCTTTAGGAGACCAAAGTCGCCTTTAGGAGACTAAAGTCGCCTTTAGGTAAGTCGCCTTTAGGTAAGTCGCCTTTAGGTAAGTCGCCTTTAGGAGACTAAAGTCGCCTTTAGGTAAGTCGCCTTTAGGAGACTAAAGTCGCCTTTAGGAGACTAAAGTCGCCTTTAGGAGACTAAAGTCGCCTTTAGGTAAGTCGCCTTTAGGTAAGTCGCCTTTAGGAGACTAAAGTCGCCTTTAGGAGACTAAAGTCGCCTTTAGGTAAGTCGCCTTTAGGAGACTAAAGTCGCCTTTAGGAGACTAAAGTCGCCTTTAGGAGACTAAAGTCGCCTTTAGGAGACTAAAGTCGCCTTTAGGAGACTAAAGTCGCCTTTAGGAGACTAAAGTCGCCTTTAGGAGACGTAAGTCGCCTTTAGGAGACGTAAGTCGCCTTTAGGTAAGTCGCCTTTAGGAGACTAAAGTCGCCTTTAGGTAAGTCGCCTTTAGGAGACGTAAGTCGCCTTTAGGTAAGTCGCCTTTAGGAGACGTAAGTCGCCTTTAGGTAAGTCGCCTTTAGGAGACTAAAGTCGCCTTTAGGAGACTAAAGTCGCCTTTAGGAGACTAAAGTCGCCTTTAGGTAAGTCGCCTTTAGGTAAGTCGCCTTTAGGAGACTAAAGTCGCCTTTAGGAGACTAAAGTCGCCTTTAGGTAAGTCGCCTTTAGGAGACTAAAGTCGCCTTTAGGTAAGTCGCCTTTAGGAGACTAAAGTCGCCTTTAGGAGACTAAAGTCGCCTTTAGGAGACTAAAGTCGCCTTTAGGTAAGTCGCCTTTAGGTAAGTCGCCTTTAGGTAAGTCGCCTTTAGGTAAGTCGCCTTTAGGTAAGTCGCCTTTAGGTAAGTCGCCTTTAGGAGACTAAAGTCGCCTTTAGGTAAGTCGCCTTTAGGAGACTAAAGTCGCCTTTAGGAGACTAAAGTCGCCTTTAGGTAAGTCGCCTTTAGGTAAGTCGCCTTTAGGAGACTAAAGTCGCCTTTAGGAGACTAAAGTCGCCTTTAGGAGACTAAAGTCGCCTTTAGGTAAGTCGCCTTTAGGAGACTAAAGTCGCCTTTAGGAGACTAAAGTCGCCTTTAGGTAAGTCGCCTTTAGGAGACTAAAGTCGCCTTTAGGAGACTAAAGTCGCCTTTAGGAGACTAAAGTCGCCTTTAGGTAAGTCGCCTTTAGGAGACTAAAGTCGTATTTTATGGATGAAGTCAAACTTTAACTAAAGTTAAAAACCAGTTTGTTCAGAGCTGTGTCTAACTGGTTGCTGTGGTCTCCAGTAGAACCTACCTTGGCCAGCTGGTTCTTCACATCGGCGAGTTCTGAGGTGAGGGCGGCGTTCTGGCTCAGCGCCGTGGCGAGCGCCGCCTCGCTCTTATTGAGCTTGGCCTCCAGCCCGTTGGCCCGGGTCATGGCGGCGGCCAGGTCTCCATCCTTCTTCTTGGCTCTGCAACAGAAACATTGATCAACCATCCGGGCTTCATCACAGAGCCGAGCATTGGACCAGAACCAGAACCTTTTCATTCTCCAAACATTTAAAGCAAAGTGAAGATCTGCTCAGACATAGATCTACGGAAGGGTCTTGCTCAGGGACCCAGAGTGGAGGCTGTGGGGATGGAACCGGGAACTTTTGACCTTCTATGAGCACTGCTCTAACCCCCCCCCCCCCCCCCCCCCCCCAGCCTAATCCCATGGCGGGGAATCAGCAGCCTTGGTGTCCACCATCTTGGATCCCCTCACTTACGTGCGCGTGGCTTCATCCAGGTCCGCCTGGACCTTCCCCAGGTCGATCTGAAGCCGGGCCCGGTCCTTGGCGGTGTCGTCCAGGACGCGGCGAGCGTCGGCCAGCTCTGCCTCGTACAGAGCCTTCAGGCCCGTCACCTGGAGACAGCGGGAGACACAGTGAGGCAGGAAACAGGGAGGCACTAGGACCCTGCTGCCGGTCCAATGGTTGGACCAACAGCACTGGTTCTGGAGAACACACCATCAGGTTAAACTGGGCTCTACTGGTTCCCAGAGCGGCTGAACAGGAGGAACCAGTGGCATCAGAACCAGGACCGCCTCATTTCAACCTTGGTCTGCTGGGGTTCTGGTTCCTAAAGCCCAAACGGACCCAGTCCAGGGAGCTGGTTCTGCCCAGATAATCCCCAGAACAACCTACTGGTCCCAAGTCTTCCAACAGGTTCTGTTCACCATGAGTGGACCAGCAGGATCCAGGCAAACCGGGTCAGAACTCAGAACCGGATCCCTGCCCTGAACCAGACCAGAAAGGCCGTCACAGCCGTGGGTTCTGGGAACCGGGCGGTACCAGCAGGCCCGGTCGGCGCCGCTGCCGGCTGATGGAGGACCCACCGGGTCTGCAGCCAAGCTGGACCAGAACTTTGGGCTTTTCAAAGCTTTAACTCAGTGATTAAACCTGGAATCCTCTGTTGCTCAATGATGGTGAAAACAGTGATGAACGGCGGGCGGTTTGATTCTGCTCCTAATAAAACAGAAATAAGTTTTATTACTTCTTCCTACTCCTTTTCGAACATGATGGGATGTACATATGTTTTTTTTCTTCTTTTTCTTCTTTTTGTTTTGTATGATTTTATTAATTTACTTATATTTGCTTTTTATTAAGTGTTCGAAATAAATGATCAATAAACAATAAATGGAACTTTATTGATCTGAGATCGGAGGGTTTAACCCCTCCCCTCAGGGAGCAGAGGGCTGCCACGGTAGGAGCAGAGTGGGGCTGAGGGACCCAGAGTGGCAGTCTGTGGGAGTGGGTCAGGATTCCCAGCTCTAACCTGTAGACCTCCCAAACACAGACTGCCCTCCTGCATCTTTCTCTTTATCGTTTTCTTGCATTTAGGAACCAAAACATGAAAGTTAGATCAGCCAATCAGAGGCAGAGCTGCTGATAGAAATCAAAGCTACGGTGGCCCGCTGGGCTCAGTTCAATCAGACTCCTCAGTAAAGTGGAGCTGCTGTTTTCTGCTCCAGTCTAAACCCGTCCGGACTCGGTTAGATCAGAACCTACATGGGTCTGGGTCCGGTCCCCCACCCCTCCCCTCCCCTCCCCTCCCTCAGACACCGGGGCGGAGCCAGGCAGCAGAGCCGCGGTAAATCGCGCCTCTCTGGGCCCAGCAGAGGCGCCTCCACCCACCTCTCTGGTAGTGACCTCCTCCTTCTCGGACACCTTCACCATCAGCCGGTCGTTCTCGACCTCCAGGGAGCGGACCCGGTCTATGTAGACCGCCAGGCGGTCGTTGAGGTGCTGCAGGTCCTGCTTCTCCTGGAGGCGGGATATCCTGGTGGGGGACAGAGGCGTGGAGGCCGCTGGCCGCCCCGCTTCTCTGCTCGGAGTACCGCGGACTGTCGCCATGCTGCTCGATCCTCGGTTAGTTGAAGCCGGAAGTAGTGAAGCTAGAGGAGAGTTTCCGGTTGGTCGGAGCTGCGTCGCTGCGGCGGTTCCTCTAAAAGAGCGAAAGAAAGCAATCAATGAGCAGCAAGAGCGGGAAGCGGAGCCTCTTCCTCACAGCGATGGCTTTCCAAGATGGCCGACACCGCGCCAAAAGCAGGGGACGTTTCCGGTGCCGCAAGGCATGATGGGAGATTTCTGGCTTTAAATAACATGTGGAGACCACCTGTTACCAAAACCATTTGTCACTCAGATTAAAGATCTAATAACATATTATCTATGATGATCTATTGATGGAACATTAATCATCCAATCAGCAAACTAAATTAAACTTTATTCCCTGGAAAATAAATCAAAACAACATTCTTTGCAAATTTGATTAAAAAAAAATTAATTAGTTCAAATGTTAAGAATTCTTTGAATAAAACTCCATCCATCTTCTGACAGGCATGTCCCTGCTGGGGGGCGAGGGCTGCTGGTGTCCATCTCCAGCAGCCAGTGGGCGGGAGGCGGGGTCCAGCCTGGACAGGTCGCCAGGCCATCGCAGTAAATAAAACTCCCCAAAAGCTAAATAAATACACTTTAAAATGTTAAATACAGTCAGATGAACTGCTGGGATTTGGTCTTAATGACCATAAATGCTCATTGTGTGAAAGTGATGTAGAAACCATAGACTTCTACAGATAGATAAACCAAATCATTTTGGAATTTCTCAGAGAGATGGATCAAATAAAAAGATTTGAAAAAATCTCTCTAGAGATACGGGAACTTTGGGATACTATTAAATAAAACCAATAAAACTTTAACCTAATTCTGTGTTTAAGCATAACCTTTTATTCATAAACGATGAGAGTTGAGATCATTCTCAGTCTTTAAGGTTTTCTTTAATCTGAATTCGTTATATTTGAAACGTCTTAAATGTATCGAATCATGACTGAACAGCTGATGGGATTAATCAGCGATGTTCATCAATCCTCTTGTTATTTTAATTATTGTTTAATTATTATCATTCCTTTATTCTTTTTTTTTTTGTTCCTTATCAATCCTACCTTATATTTCCAGTTCCAGAAATCTGCCGCTGCTCTGCCCTCTGCAGAGACTGTTGCTCAGAGTTCCTTCTTTAAACTTTGTATAAATAAAGTTCATTTAAAAAAAGGAAAAAAACTACCTTGGCGTCAGACGCAGCAAACTCAGCTCATAAAATAAAAATGGAAACCGCCTTTAACCATAATCTCCTCTCTTAATCCTGAAGGCCAAACCATGGAGTCCAGATTCAGGTAAATTTATCTCCAATCTTCTAAAAATGACACCTGGTGCTAAAATATTAAAGAATAATTTTTAGATATTATAAAGACTCTGAACGATTAAACAACCAAATCCAGAAATGGGATTTTCTAAAATACAAGATCAGACAGTTTTCTCTTTTATTCAGTAAACAAATTAAAAAAGAACCTGATATTTATAAATCAACTAAACATGTTCAACAATAAACCTAATCCCCGGGAAGTAAAAACATTTAGAATATTAACCCTCCAATCTAAGATAGATCAAATCTTTATTCAACAGGAAAACAACAAAATGGTTTTAAATCCTTTATAATTAATCAGCAGCAGATAATTACTCCTTTTTTAACAACTTCTAGACTTCCACATTTTCTGGACAAAAATATCTTCCTTTTTTAGCCAGATTGAAAATGATATTCCTAAAATGAAAGACGATTATCAACTGACCTGTGATCTTAACACAATGTTAGAAGAAGCTGATAAAACTGATCATTGTCGAGCAAAGCTCCTGCTCCAGGTGGATTATGGGTAACCGCATAAACATTTTTAGGTATTTCTTCCAAGTTTTCAAAGAAATGTTTAATAACTTTATCTGACTTTCACAATTAGAAACTCAGATTATAATCTGCTAATCTACATGTTCACCATGCGCCTATGAACTGGAATCTCAAATATTCTGCAGATAAATAATCTGGAAGATTGATCCACAACAATATTAGGCCATTTAATCAAATATAGAGAATTAATTAATGATGATGGTTTTATTCTTTTCTTAGATTATTATAAAGCATTTCATTCTTTAGAACATGGTGGAAGTTTAGAATTGTGAGAGTTACCCAGAGTTCACCAAGGTTGTTAATGGCAACTGCTTTACCTTCCAGCTTCTGCTGTTGCCAACACCCCATGTGATGTCATCAGTTTTTGTTGTTGCTAAGCAACAGACACAACAACCAAACGTGTTTGTGGCAGTAAGTTGCTACTTTAATCACATCTCACTTTCTGCTACTCAGCTGAAACTGCAACAGTTTGTCGGCCGTTGTTCAGACCACAGAAAACCCAACTTTAGCCTTTAGCTGCAAATGATTTATCTCTAAAGTTAGACCTCCTCTTTCAGATCCCTGTCTTCTTTTTCTCTGCTCAGATTTTAATCCACTTTATAAACAATCTGCATTACTGTAAGGAGATGGTCCCAGGAAGCTGAAGAAGCAAAACAGCCTTTAAGAAGGAAGACGGGGAATTAATGAGGAGAATAGAGAAGCAACTAAAGATCAGAGAAAGCAAGGAGGCAACGAGGAAGAGGCTGGAAAACAAGCAGAACATCATCAGAGATGAAGAAGATTTCAGATTTCCAGCTGAAGGATGATCAGACAGATGGAGGTCTGGAGGACAGAGCCAATCTTTCAAACCTGTTCCTTCCATTTTTAATCAAATTTGACTCATTACTGTTGGCTTCGGTTTAATGTTTCTAAATCTTTATTTCCCGTCATGTGCTCCATCCAATGCAGATCATTGGCTCCACCCGCATCTAGTGAAAGCTAGTGTGATTGGATGAGTCATAGAAGGCAAACACTCATTGGTTAGCTAAAGGAAACCATCAGAAGCAAGCAGGTGTTCTTCAAACTGCTAACGTGAATTGTCTATACCATGCTACAATGTGGGATTCAGAAAAAGATGTTGAAACGTCTGAAAGGTCGGACACAGGCGAGAGCGTATCGGGAGACGGAGACCAACCAGACCTCCCTCATCCTTGGACTTATCTCAGAGGATTTATAGAAATAGTCCAAAAATTATGCTTTGATTCATATAGCGGCATCTGGCTGTTTTTTTTAAAGGTTACTTTATTCTTTAAGTAGTTTTTGGAGCACATAGTTTTTCACTTTTACTTGAGTAAAGAGGTCAAGTTGATACTTCAACTTTTACCAGAGTGTTTTTAAACTGCAGTATCTATACTTCTACTGAAGTAACTAATGTGTGAACTTTGACTCCACTGGTATAGACCTACTGCCCTGACTTCTCTCATCACGAAGGTCCTAAAGAGACTTCTTAAACTGTTTATACGGCTGATTTAGAACAAAATGGATCAATCTCTGCCAGTAAGAGTCCCAGTCTCAACATTTACCATAATCAGCAAATTAATATCTCAATTTATTTGGCAACAAAAAAGACAAAGAATTAGACTTAAAACACCTCATTTACCCCAAAAACAGGGGTGCTTTATCTCCACCCAATTTAAAATTGTATTATTGGGCAGCGCAGTTATCAGCCACTGTGACTTGGATTGGAGGGGATGAGGAAGCAAGATGGCTTCAAATAGAACAGGGTGAAACTAAAGGTATACAATTATCTACTCTAGATATCAGAACTGTTAATAAAATGAAAATTGGAAATGAATGGAAATGAATGGAGTAGCTAAAAAAATCGGGTAAAACTAGTCTATATGATGGAAAAAATGGCCGCTTGTTTACAACTCGAAGTGGACAAGTTCAATCAAAGATGGCATTTGGTGAAATTATATTTTGGCTGCAGTGATTCTAATGGATCGCAATCTGCTCCGTCATCCGTATTACTGAGGTATGTATTTGAATATATATATGTATATAAATATATATATATATATATATATATATATATATATATATATATATATATATATATATATATATATATATATATATATATATATATATATATATATATATATATATATATATATATATGTATATATATATATATATATATATATATATATATATATATATATATATATATATATATATATATATATATATATATATAGATGTATGTATGTATACATGTAGGTGGGTATATATATTATATATATATAATTTTTTGCTGTTTGTTTACTGTATTTTTGGCCTGTGGATGAGCACCCTGGAGGGGAGGGGGAGGGGTGTGGGTTTGTGTGTATCTATGTGTACATATGGTAGTATGTATGTGTACATATGGTAGTATCTATGTGTACATATGGTAGTATCTATGTGTACATATGGTAGTATCTATGTGTACATATGGTAGTATGTATGTGTACATATGGTAGTATCTATGTGTACATATGGTAGTATCTATGTGTACATATGGTAGTATCTATGTGTACATATGGTAGTATGTATGTGTACATATGGTGGTATCTATGTGTACATATGGTAGTATGTATGTGTACATATGGTAGTATGTATGTGTACATATGGTAGTATCTATGTGTACATATGGTAGTATGTATGTGTACATATGGTAGTATCTATGTGTACATATGGTAGTATCTATGTGTACATATGGTAGTATGTATGTGTACATATGGTAGTATCTATGTGTACATATGGTAGTATCTATGTGTACATATGGTAGTATGTATGTGTACATATGGTAGTATCTATGTGTACATATGGTAGTATGTATGTGTACATATGGTAGTATCTATGTGTACATATGGTAGTATCTATGTGTACATATGGTAGTATCTATGTGTACATATGGTAGTATCTATGTGTACATATGGTAGTATGTATGTGTACATATGGTAGTATCTATGTGTACATATGGTAGTATCTATGTGTACATATGGTAGTATCTATGTGTACATATGGTAGTATGTATGTGTACATATGGTGGTATCTATGTGTACATATGGTAGTATGTATGTGTACATATGGTAGTATCTATGTGTACATATGGTAGTATGTATGTGTACATATGGTAGTATCTATGTGTACATATGGTAGTATGTATGTGTACATATGGTGGTATCTATGTGTACATATGGTAGTATGTACACTATATTGCCAAAAGTATTTGCTCACCCATCCAAATTATTGGAATCAGGTGTTCCAATCACTTCCATGGCCACAGGTGTATAA